CCAGAAAATAGGGTGCCATTAATTAATAGTGGCATCATAGGCTTATTGGGTGTGATTTTTTGTGTCAAAGCCAATAATTCAGGGGAGCCTTCAAAAAGGGACATGGAGGGATCGCCGCAAGATAGTGGAGCTTCCGCACAGGGGAATAACACAAGTTGGGCAATGGAATCTCCCTTTTGAAACTCAATTGGGACATTTGTATAAAATTGAATTTGAACAGGGGCGGTAGAGTCCGAATCGACCATAATAGGGATGACCGATGTCCCCTTCTTCTGAGCCAAACAATGAGGGAGTATTATTCCCACCATGCCAGGGGGCAGGGGGCCATGAATATGGGTTTCAGCCATTGTGAGCAAATTAGGAAAATCTACTGAAACCGCATTTACAAATTGTAAATCAATTCGGGACTGGCCCCTAATGGGCATTCGTTCTTCTGGCGGAGAGGAAGCAGCCTTGGGGAGGGGGTTAGCCGCACCCCCCCTATCTAGTTTCCCTGGTTGGATTGGTTTGATCGGTATTGATTTGCCCAATGATAGCCCTTCTTACATTTTGGGCAAACTGTATTAGGTTTCGTCCCTATGTTTTTTGCGGGACGCGCAGCCCCCCCTCCGGGGGCTTGACACTGCTTTTTAAAATGTCCGGGCTTCCCGCAATTAAAGCAGGTGCCCCGGGGTTGATTTCCCTTTTGCAGCGTGGCTGCCAATGTATCCATTTGGAAGGCGTTAGTTCCGACAATACAACAAGCCTTGAGATAATCAGCAAGGGTTGGCGCCAGGCAGGATGCCAAAGGTTTAAGGACAGACTGGCAGTCCGCGTTTGCATGTTCAAATGCCAATTTCATAAGAATTTCAGCAGCTGCTTCCTTGTTAGAAATTTGTCTCTCCACTGCCTTTTGTAGGCGGTTAATAAAATCGGAATAAGATTCGGTTGCAGTTTGTTTTATGGCAGAAAAGGATTGAATCGGGGTACCAGATTCATCTACACGGGACAAGGCAGCCATTACACATTCGTTGACAAACGAAAAAGCAAGGGGTGTTAAGGCCTGCGCCTGGGTGAGGAGTGTGGCAAAGGCACCCTCCCTAAATAATTGTTCCATGGTCCACTGGGCTCCCGGCCGTGTCGCCCTATTCATGGCTTTCCTTTTGTACTCGGACTCAAACACCACATACTGGGTTCCATTAAGCAACATCCGAGCCAAGTCTTTCCAATCCTGTGGTAGCAGTTGATAGGCACCCGCTAGAGAATTAAGAAGTCCTCTGGAGTAGTGGCTGGTAATTCCATAATCCTTTACCGCATTTTTTAATTCTTTAATCATTACCAGAGGCACGGGTTCCCATTCAAAAACAATGCCTTCTGGTGTAGTCCAGTATATGACTGGAAATAGCTCAATGTCCTGCA